CCAATCTTTAATTCAATTACATTTATTATGATAATAATCCACGCACAGCTCTGACCATGTGTACACATAAAATTATGTGGGACAGTACAGGCAAAACAGCCACAAAAAAATCACCAACAAGCTGAAATTAAACAATGAGTTCCCAAACATACCAACCCAATTCCAATAAAGTTGGGATGTTATGCTAAACATGAATTAAAAACACAATACAATGATTTACAATTCAACCTATATTTAATTGAATACAATACAAAAACAAGATATTTAATGTTCAAAGTGGTAAACTTTTGTTTTCGGCAAATACCGGTAGTCATTAAATTTGATGGCTGTAACACATTCCCAAAAAGCTGGGACAAAGTCATCTTTACTACTGTGTTACATCATCTTTTCTTTTAACAACATTCAATAAAGTTTGGGAACTGAGGACACTAATTCTTAAAGCTTTACAGGTCTTTCCCATTCTTGCTTGATGTACAGCTTCAGCACTTTTAACAGTCAGTCATATTTTACGTTTCATAATGTGCCACACGTTTTCAATGGAAGACAGGCAGGCCAGGCTTGTACCCGCATTCTTTTACTACAAATAACTATAAGATGTGCAGAAAGTGGTTTGGCATTGTTTTGCTGAAATAAGCAGGGGCGTCCATGTTGCGTGGATGGCAGCATGTTTCTCCAAAACCTATATGTACCCGTCAGCATTAATGGTGCCTCCACAGATGTGTAAGTCGTAGTGTTTTCAATTATATGCAGGTTGAACAGGATTTGCAAATTATTGTATTCATTCATTCATTTTCCAAACCGCGTTATCCACACTAAGGTCGCGGGGGGTGCTGGAGCCGATCCCACCTGTCTTTGGGCAGTAGGCGGGGGACACCCTGAATCGGTCGCCAGCCAATTGCAGGGCACACAGAGACGAACAACCATCGACGCCCACACTCACACCTAGAGACAATTTAGTGTTTTCAATCGGCCTGCCATGCATGTTTTTTGGAATGTGGGAGGAAACCGGAGTACCCGAAGAAAACCCACGCAGGCCCGGGGAGAACACGCAAACTCCACACAGGGAGGCCGGAGCTGGAATTGAACCCGGTACCTCTGCACTCGACTACCGGGCCGCCCTCATTGTATTCAGTTTTTATTTATTTTTTTACACCACATCCCAACTTCATTGGAATTGGGTTTGTAGGTGGAATACATACTCAATTTCAGTCGTATGAACGAATTTGCTCTCCGCACACCGAGAAATGGTGTGCGGCATAATCAAACGTGCGTGATACTTTATATTCACTGATATATAGATAAGATAAGATAAGATAAGATAAGATAAGATCAGATAAGATAAGAAATCATTTATTAGTCTCACAATGGAGAAACTCCCAATTCACAGCAGCAAAGTTATGAAAGGAAGAAACAGAAGAACAAAATATAGGAGCTGCTGGAAAGGCAGCCACTCACGCGGCGCCATCTTGAAGTCAAAATAACAAAATAACACAACACAACACATTAGACACAGACAGTCGTGCAATCTTAATCACTTTTCCTGCATACACTTTGTTGTTTGAACCAGTTATAGATGAAAGAGGAGTCCTTTTCACCAGTGGATCAAAGACGTCAATACACACACACACACACACACACACACATAGAGAGAGAGAGAGAGAGAGAGAGAGAGAGAGAGAGAGAGAGAGAGAGAGAGAGAGAGAGAGAGAGAGATTTGCATCTCGATGTTATTGTACTTGTATTGCACCATGACTTCAAAGGGGTTCAAGTTTATTTCGTATATATGGTTAAGTATCATGATGAATTGAACTCACTTGTCCGGTTCTGTTACGGTGCCGTCACAAACATCATCCTAAGGAAGGGGAACAACAAACCCAAGTAATTAAAATTATGCCAGTACATTCTTACGTTCATTAATGTGCAAATGTCAAATGCACCAACCTCCACCAAAGCTTAATTATTTTTTTGGTCGTTTTTCCTTACTAGCAAGCTACTTCCTGTTCAAGGAGAATAAAGAACAGACATGGTGCCAATGTGAGTCTGAAGGCTGGATGGTGCCAATGGTTACACTGGCACTTATTTGGCTCATGTGGTTGTGGGTTCGTGCACCTATCATCTCCAAACGTTTGTTGACATTGGTTTTGTAATTAATTTGTGTAAACCTGTTGTGTGTGCTATTAGTTATTGTTTTAAAAGTCATATTGACTACTGCGAAAAAAAAGGGTAATTATCAGAACAAAGCTAGTGGTGCCTTAAGACTTTTGCACAGAACTGTATATTTGCAAGATATATGATTAGAGCATTGACAGAACAACAGTCTTCAAGGGAAAAGTGCTTAAGACAGACCTCTGCATCACTGACATCCTCAGTCTCCAAGTCTATGTCGAACACTCCGGCCATCCTGAAACCGATACTAGTGTCAGGCAATGTACTTTATTAACTGGATGTACAACTTACAAAACATTCTAGCAAATGTGTAAGTAGAATGTGCCTAGGCATTTGTTAAACCATTGAAAAAAACAATTAAGTGAGTCAACTTTTAAATAGTTAAGTTTGTATCGAATATTCGTATCGATATCATAAAGCAAATGCACCCTGAAACGCACCTCGATGGTGTGCTTAAACGCTTCGTCAAGAAAATATGGTTGAAGAAGGTCACGAGCAATGTGGCAACCAAAACACGTGAGGCACACACAGTCCTTCTTAAGCGCGGCTCTCCATTGATCTAAACGCTTGTTGAGTGACAATTTCTTCCCCGCGACGAACGTCTGAATTGTTTGCGATCGTCACTGAGGATGACAGTTGTGTTGACAAATAGCTTAGCGCACTGCATGAAAATGATAAGTTAACTAGCTCACCTGATAGCACTCTTTCATCCGGGGATTTCGTACCTCACTCTACACAACTGCAATGTATAAATCAGATTACTTTTAGACTAAAAATAAAGTGTTTATGATTATTTAATCCTTCTTTAATGTAGACTGCTCCTCCTCAGTTGTGTTTCACTCCAGTCGGGACTCTAGCTCCCCTCGTGCAGGCTTCCTGGTGTTGTTATTCCGGCGTCATTGCAGACGTCATCGGGCTTCTCTTTTCCTTTTTGTTTATTGGCGGACAGCAAACCATTACGTCAACGTCAGGAGAGAAGTACGTGCGGCGTACTGCCTTATACTGTATATCTATTGTTCAGTGTTGAAAGTGAGGTTATGTCGGAATACAGTATTGTAAAATGAAGGGACCTGATTGATTTATATTCCATTTTCATATGTTTGCCTAGTAAGCATAAAACCTTGTATTTTGATAACCTATGCATAATGTGTTGTTGTGGTTTTCGAAATCTTTCAAAGAACCTATTAGTGAAAACCTGTAAAATAAAAGGCAAAAAGGTAAAAGTGAGGTTACTGTTGGGTTAACGTTCAGCAAAAAAAAATAAATACAGCACGCCCGAACAGGGACTTGAACCCTGGACCCTCAGATTAAAAGTCTGATGCTCTACCGACTGAGCTATCCGGGCTCTGCCTAGTTTTCCGCATATTAATTTAATATGGTCTAAGATGATCACGGGCAAGAAAGATGGCTTGGTGAGTATTGCACGTTTTACAAAATGTTGCCTTCATCGAGAAGTCGCGTTTCACTTGCTCAGTCGATAAAGTATTTGCTTTGTATTTAAGACAAGAGACGCTTAGTTCTGAAGAGCTGCAACTACAAGTACTGTAATTCAAAAGGGAGTCGACCGTCAAAACTATGCTCTACTCAACTGTATTTGTAGAGCATTTTAAAACAACCACCGCTGGATACAAAGTGCTTGTACATGGAGCAAAAATAATTCAATCAACAAAAAAAAAAAAAAAAAAAAAACAATAAAAAGACAAAAGAAAGTACAAAAACAGTAAATCTAAAAATCAAGTCTCATGCTGAGTCAAGAACCAAAGAATAATGAGTAAGAATAAATTAGTTTTAAGACGAGTTTAAAATGAACAGCGAAGGGGCTTGCCGAACGTTCAGTGGGAGGTCATTCGAATGAGGAGGATTAACATGAGGAATCTGAGTCAAATAGAATGATTTTTGAAATGTAACTGTTTGACACGTTGTTCTTGGACTTAGTTTTTAGCAAAAAAAGCACTGAAAAGAAAGAAAATTGGCAGGCCCCAGCGAGATTTGAACTCGCGACCCCTGGTTTACAAGACCAGTGCTCTAACCCCTGAGCTATGGAGCCATTGGTGAAGAAAGTAGGTGACCAATTCTTAGTTAAATTATTACGTCCAAGCATTGCAGTCGGGAGTATTGTTATATACTGTGGCTTCCACCAGGCGGTACCGAACGTCGACTTTCCACATCCCTGACACTGGCCTCTAGTCCTTTATACTAAGAGACGAAATTGTTTGTGTTGTGGAACTGATACCCAGTTGCTAAAATGCAAACCTAAGGCTAACATAGAGAAAATTTGACCCAGCCAACATGAAAGCTGACCAAACAACCTGCTCAATTCTTTTGCTTCGAATTGTGCCTTAGATGGTGATTGGTAGCGGCGGGGGGCGTGCAGTGCCGGCCAGTTTTCACCATACTCACATTTGGGTTTGCATACTGCAGTGAAAAGCTGGGCACGGGAGCAAACATGAAGGACGAGTGATTCCATTTCGTGACGATGATTAATTCTCGCCTTTTCTACTGGATCACTATTGGATTGTACTCCTACATGGACACCAGTTGTTTTTACACCCAAAGGGACGTGTTTGCTTTTGTTCGAGCCCTTGTGGAAGCGAAGAGAGCAATGGTGGAGGTAGGGGCACACACGAGCGAAGTTGCCTCATGAAAAGCTGTGCGTCGATACGGGGTTGCATCCGAATTTTGGATGGTGGACCCAGTAGATCCCATCAGCAGGTGAGTAGGACCAAGCGGCTCAAATCATTAAAAAGCAGAAAATGCAATAAAACTTGAGTGTGCCGTCGAGTTATGACGCGTTAAAGCTGATATTTTAAGACATTATGTTAAAAAAAAACACAGTTTGGGAGAAAATGCAACATGTCCAATTTCTAAGTTTTTTACCAACGCAAACGTTGCAAAGTACCGGGGGAGACCCGTGGAACCTGTTCTTGGATCCAGGTTGCACCCGAGAAGGAGAGACGTTACTACTGAGTCTCCGTTTTGGTGGGAAGCTCGTACTTTTTTCGACAGCTACGCCCAAACAGGAGGAAAAACACAATGTAGCAGCCTCCACATACATACTGTCGGATTTGAATGAGAAAAATGAAGTACGTGTTTTCTTCTACGGCGAAAAACAGCCAAAACGCTGCCCAATTTTAATGCCTTATCTGCATCAACACACTCCTTCTATGTACACGACTGATTACCACAATATGTTTAAAGGCCTTCGCTTTGAGTCAACGACTCCTCCGAGATCATACGGCGTGTCTGTAGGGGTTGGTAGCAAAAGACGCCTTTTAATGAATGCGGTTCTTTGTTCGTGTTTTCTTTGTTACCGGTTCACCGAAATGATTACGGCGGTGTAGCATCAACTCGCTACAGTAGGCTACTGCGATTTTTCTCGCTGTGTGGCCATGCGAGGAATTTGGCTATTTGTAGAGGAATTCTTCGCTTTCTCTTGGCATTAGCTCTGCTGTGGATTCATGTAAGCTTACATCACCTCGTCTTGTTACTGTGATTATATATGCTAATTATGTCAGTCAGTTGATCGAAATTGATAATTCCTTCGCAGGGCCAACAGTAACAACATGCTCGTGGCCTCTGCTGTGGTGGTTTGGGAATGGCTGAACGAACACGGTCGGTGGCGGCCCTACAGCCCGGCCGTCTCCCATCAAATAGAGGCGGCCATTCGGAGTGGAGATATCCGTGGGGGGAGCGTGGTCCTCGGCCAGGTGGAGAGTCGCCTCTCTCCGTACATCATTGATCTCCAATCCATGCACCAGTTCAGACAAGATACAGGTATGTTAATGTGAAGGATCAAGGTTTATGCCACAAAGCATGTCCTCTTTGTTATGTGTGCTCAGAGCACTGAATTTTTCGCAATTGGACACTGGTTGTCTCAGTGTGTATTCACACTAGCAGTTTTTGGTCCACTAGAAACAAACCAGGGTTTGTTTCCTACCCTGGTTTGAACTTTTAATGTAGGTGTGTACACACAAACCAATCCTGGTGCAGAATAAACAACCGGACCAAGACCGGCTTTTTGAGATGGCTTCGGTCTGCTTTCAAACAGATTCCGTGCGGTTTGCTTCAGGTGTGAATACAAACCAGAGTGCATCCGAACCAGCTGCAGGATATATGGGCCAAGCTACCGTAGCCAGGCATCATGGGAAAAAATAGCCCACAGTGAAAGTTCATTCAAGATATTCATACCTGATCCACTGTCTTCTCTGTAGACATGCTGCTGCCAGCATGTTGTGCGTCATGGCATGTGGAGCACATTGTCTCCTTTAGCTTACTGTACATATTCGCGGACGCTGTTCCAAAATGAGAAACAATGCCGCGAAACCTACATTAAAATGAGCTGCTCTTGACACTCGGTTTTATTTGAGCTCTGATAAGGGCACAAATATGCAGAAAAGGAATGTCGCAGGTTGGATTTCCATGTTCTCCTCCGTTTCCGGGTCTGTGCTCTGCGTGTCACCCTTGTCATTTCTGTCCAATGGGAGGACAGATCCTCAAATGCGTGGATGTGTTTACAGAATATAGTTCATTTGCCAAAAGTACAGGATGAATATGAACAGCACCCAAAAAAAAAAAATAAGTCCGCGTTTGTTCTGCTTTTCTGGTGTGAATATACCGTATTTTCCGCACTATAAGGCGCACCGAAAAGTCTTCCATTTTCTTAAAAGCTCACAGCGCGCCTTAAAATCCGGTGCGCCTTGTGTATGGTTATTATGGTAATATGTTGACCCCAAGATAGATGGCTCCTTGCTGGAGACATGCTTACAATGTTATAACTTGCTGTTGCTTCAGTGAACTGTGTCACTGCTTTATTAAATGAGTTTTTGTTGCGCCTCTGAAAAAAGGAGAGCTGTGGTGTTGTTTTTTTAAAATGCACACTTTATTAATGGTTCTCACAGTCTCAACAAATACAGGCACGTCTTTGTCCATCTCTGTGCCTTTTCTTCTTCCGTTCGAATGGAGAGGTGTTCATGACCGCCTTCGAAAAACGTACATTAACGATTCCTTCAATGAAACTACGAAAATTGAAACTAATGCATCAAAACAGAAAATCAAGCGAGAAAATCACAAAATAAATTCTATAGCCCCACTAGAGAATTTATTTTGTGATGTCCCCGTTTGTGAATACTGTACAGTGAAACTCCTCTACAACGAAATCATGTTTGCAGCAAGAAATTTTTCACAACAGGGCCTTTTTCACTGTAGCAAATTTGATCTCAGATGTAAACACACACACACACACACACACACACACACACACACAAACGAATGTGTACACGCATATACAAACGTATGTGTACTCTTTATTTTTGTTCCAATAGTGCATAAGTATGAGCATACACTTAGGCCAAACAAAAAAGATGTTTCGAAAGTGTGTTTCCGGTAACGATAAAGAAATTTCAGCATAGGGTCGGTAGGTCGGACAAATTTTTTTATTTTTTTTAATCTTTTTTTTTTCCCCCCCATCAAAAATTTAAACAAAATAACCATAAAACAAGAAGACACTGAACCAGCCGCTCCACGGCCGGCGCCGCTCCACGGCCGGCGCCGCCGCCGCCTATTTAGTTTTGTCCCCGCTCCGGACTCGGGGGCCGGGCCCGGCGCGCCGCCGCCTCCGCCGTCCTCCTCCGCCCTCGGTTTTTACTCGGCCCGTGGTGTTCATCAAATAGTTCGCTTTATTTTTTCGATACATCAATGGATGCAATTTTCTTAACATTACAGTCCGTGCACGCGACTGTAACACAGAAAACGCAGTTTAAAATGTCGTCGGAGATAGCGACCGCCGCCATTGCGAAATTTACGATCAGCGTTCACTTTCACTTACATCAATTTCTTGGATAATGTCTTTTATTTTGCTTCCGCCGTCTTTCATTTTGATCACTTTTACCCTCTCTTCCAGCGTCAGAGCTCTTCTTGTCTTAGCTGCTTGACATCCAAAGGTCCGTTTTGTAGCCATTTTAGCAATGCAACGTTCTTGCTGCATCTGAAACTAGCAATAACAAATACTTCCTGGACTACTGCGCATGTGTATAAAGAGATTTTGGTCTCTTTATAAACACACTGGCTAAACCCCGGTGGGACGAAAAAAGACATCGTGGACGAGACTACTATTGTAGGAGAAAAATATATATTTGGACAGAAAAAGGAAAGAAAGGAAGAGAAACATACAGGTTGATGGAGAGCGTGTCCGTCCGACCTCGAGCGTCATGTCGTCTCAACTAACTAACCTAGCTTTTGTCGTGGCTAGGCTAGCTTAGCTGTTGTCGTAGATCAAAGCTCTTTGATGTGTAACGCCCGTTGCGTCAGCACTGATTGGTTGAAGCCAAAAGACGCGCGCGTGCGTACATGTTCGCGCTGACGCACGCAGACTATCGACTGCTGAGTCGCGCTTCACTCGAGTGGCGTCGCTACATGTAAACCAGTGTGGTGGTTGTTGTTGCCGTTTCCGAACAAAGCAGTAGAGGTTGCTGTTGGATTAGACTTCGCTGTAGTGAATCTCGTCGCGAGGCAAGAGCAGAGAAAAAGATTTCGTATAACGCAACGGGGATTTTTCATTGTATGGGTGGCCGGAGAGTGGGAATGGTGTTAATGCATTAAGATTTTTTCACACTAGGGGGTATTTTCGCCCATGTAGGTTTCGTTGTAGAGGAATTTCACTGTACAGTACACAACAAAGGAATAAATAAACACTTCTGAGACAGTCCAGTCTCCTTCAATTTACTGACATCTGATCGTTCTGTAGCAGCTACGCTCAAGGAAATGCTGTCGGGGGGCTATAGAATTTATTTTGTTATTTTCTGTTTTGATGCATTACTGTATTTTCAATTTTCATAGTTTCATTGAAGTAATCGTTAATTTACGTTTTTTGGAGGCGGTCATGAACGCCTCTCGAGTCTAACGAAAGAAGAGAAGGCACGGAGACGGACAAAGTTGTAGATTGCGCCTTATAGTCCAGTGCGTGCAATATATGAAACAAAATTACAAAATAGGCCATTCATTGAAGGTGTGCCTCATAATCCAGTGCGACTTTTAGTGCGGAAAATATGGTACTCTTATTTTATTTACGCTCATCTGAGTTGGCTTCAGAAATTGCATCCGCGTAGACTAGATGCAACAGCTGTCGACTGAGGATTGTTTTCTTTAAGGTTAGAGGTATGTCCTAACACCAGTGATAGTACTCTTGGGATGAAGAACGCCAGTCATTGAAATACATTGCAGCAGTTGTTTAGGTGGATGATTTGGTGACGTATGTAAATGACTATGGCCAGACCAAGTGTAAATCCACCCCAATACCAACAATTTGCCAGTGTTAGATGAACACTAATAGTAAAAAAACACCTGAACAAACCATAAGTGCCTTAAGGAGCTAATTGGAAGACACAAAGAAACGGTTTGATGAGAACAGGTGAAAACAATAGATCCAAAGAACAGGCTAAGACATGAACCACAAGAAAACGAGACATAATTGTACCAAATTTCCAGTCTAAAAAAACACATGGATCATAATACATAGATTTGAATGTTTTTTCTAAAATGGTGCCATTTGGGGAATAATCTATGTAATGGGTTAATATGAATAGTACAAGATTGTCAACCACTATGACACACCAACAGAACCTGCTGAACAATGTGTAAATGAAAGCACCTCACGAATATTATATTTTCCCACCGTCACTGATGTGCAAAATGTGTTTAAAACAATAAAATCCAGATGGCCAGTCTCTTTCCACCTGCCTGGGTATGCTTTACATTCTCTTTCTTTTCAAAATTTTAATTTCACCAAATTTGCCACAGACATTTACCCTGTATATCTGGTACATATTTGCAAACAAGCAGTCAAAAGACACTCGGTACCCTTTTCTCATATGTGTGTTGGATTTTCAGCTGTGAGATGCAATTGAGGGAATTGTTGGACGGTTTTAGATTCCGATATGTCCATAGCTAGGAAAGAAATACCACAGATCTAGATCAAAATTCCCAATTACGGTGGTGGTTAAGAGAGGTAGCACAAAGAAATAACGCTTATGGTTGTGTGTGACATTACATGACACATACTTAATTTAAACTCTCAACAATAGCTTTGAGTGCCAGTTGAAGCCTTCCAACCAAATTTCCCGTTTTCCAAATTGCTAGGTGGGAGTTTTTTTTTTTTTTTTGTTTTTGTTTTCAGTCTACTGCTAGAAAGATGGTTGGATTCATAGGTTCTGAATCATTTACCTCTGCATTACGGAGCATCGGTGTATCAGTTCCCCCATCCCTTATATGTTGGTGACCGTCATGCCATTAACAAACAAAAAAAGCAAGACAGAATTATACTAGAATTGTAGCATTAGAAATAACACAAACAACTGTTTTGTAATATCCTATTATGTTGAAGTTGTAAAAAGTGTAGAATCCAAAGACTTTCATTTTCTGACCTTTTCCATTTGTCAACCTGAGCCAGTGTAATACCGCATTGAATTGAATACTGCACTAGATAAAATGAATATTCTGTAAAACAGGGATATTTAAACAAAAACAATCAAAAATGATAAAAACACAGGATGTGTTATTTTTAAAAAATCCATAGGAAATAATTTAAATGAGCTTGATTTAAAGAATTTCCTGCTTCGCTTACAATCCAGTTGGTTCGTGGCCATTTGTATATGTCAATGGCATTAATGAAACTTCTGCAAAGGGCACATCAGTGGTTCTTTGGTTATAGCTACTCAGTGAGTGAAGGCACCTTGATGCTCCTTCCATGTACCACACTGTGAATCTGAGACAGTTGAGATTGTCGATAATGGGCTGACCTGAGATAACCTTCCAGTTCACGGAACAAACTTTGGGGACTGAGGAGTGCTGAAATAAGACAGGAAACACTTGTGTGTTATCTGTTTTTGTGGTGTGCAACAAAAATATTGGCTGCAGAGTATGCACAAATGTGTACAAAAATATTCACTTGTACTCAGCACAAGATTTTGAAACAAGCACATATCCTCACATTGACATTTTTTTCTCTTTTGATCTTAGGAACTATCCGTCCAGTGAGGAGGAGTTTTTATGACCCGGCCTCAGCCCCAGGACAAGGCTGGCAGTGGGAGTGGGAAAATGATGCAGGTTCTTGGACACCGTATGACATTGAGGTGGCGATAGCCATCGACAATGCTTATAGCCGCCAGCAGCCCTGCCTTGACCTGACAACCCTCGGCTTCTGCTACCTCATTGATTTTCAGAACATGACACAGGTGTGATTGCTTTTTTTTTTCAAACATACCTAAGTTGCAAACGTTTTACTTACTTGATGCCCTGGGCCAGTTGTGTCCACCTCCCTTTTTTCCGAACCATTTGGGCAGTGTGAGTGGAAATGTAATGGAAAAAATGAAACTTCCCAAATGTCTGGATTTTCATCTGAATTAGTTCTATTCAACTCCAGCTCTTAACATATATCAATAAGATACAGTGAAACCCCGCTACTCGTGGGGTACAGGGACAGGGACAGCCCACAAATAGTGAAAATCTATATTTTTCCGACCACATGGTGCACTTAAACTCCTTTAATTTTCTCAAAAATCGACAATGCGTCTTGTAAACTGGCGCAACTCCTGCATCGATGTTGGCTTTTCAGTTCATCGTCTTTAATTCAAAAAAATTGCTATTTACTTTCACGCATCTAATCGCTAGCAGGCATCCATGTTTTCATCATATCGCAATTAGAAATAGTTCCTGCTTCCGAGTCTTAAGAACAACAGGAAAATGTAGTCCGACTAGCGAAATGCTGCGGTCAGACCAAACTTTAGCTAAGGGTTTCTGGCGGCGCGTTTCCAATGTGACAATGTGGGACAATATCATTGCAGTCTGTGGGACAGAGAGGTAAATGTCAGTGCTACCCGATATTTAGTCTGGTCTGAACCTAACCTAATTGCACTAAATCTATCAAATAAACGGTACAGGGGTTTCCTCTGAAAATATGCTAAGCCTGGTGGTAGAGAAGCCGAATAGCTTCATAATAGATATTTCATTATACAGTAGTCCGCTTTGCACTTGCCATTTTGGTGCAGCCAATACAACCTGGAGCTGAACACACACTCATTGTGGAGTTCAGTAAACATCCTTCGTCACAGCTGCCCCTCACTTTATCCAACTGCCTTGTATCAACCGTCTAGACACATGACCTTGCCACTCTTGCGCTGCATGTAGATCTCAGTTCAACCAATCACACTCCTCCTTTCATGTTTGGCATTGATCACAGTTAAAAACAGCAGATGACAATCATCGTGCGGAGGTCGAGAGTGAGGATGAACACACGCAGCCGCTCCTGCCTATAGACAGCACACACACAAGTAAACAACATCCATGTTCGCTGTAAATTATATGGATGGCACACATATCTTGTCTTTTAGAACATTACATGACCATATTTATAATTTCAACATTACCAGTGGATAAAATCGCAGAGCTTGTAAAAATGTACGAGCAGCCCGCACCCGGCCACTGAAATCCATTGGGATTTTTTTTTTTACTCCCCACATTCTTAACAAAAAAAACTTGCAATTTGCATTTTCCATGAAAAATGGGGGTTGACTCCACAAAATCAAAAAATATACATATTGTAGAGATGAAAGTCCTCCGGATTTTCCCAGAATTTCGGATTTTCAAATTTTAATGAACATTTCTCCGGAGAATTGAGGAAAATTTGCCTAAAATTAATCCGGATATTAGTTGACAATATTGAACGAACACGCGTTTGAGTTCGTTGTTTTGCTTTCACAAGCGTAGCCATGTTGAGGCACTAACACTACCCAGTC